GGCATAATTATCCATTCAATTCCAAAAAATAATGTCAGTGAAGCTGCAAACATGTTCGATGGCATTCTCAGCCCGGACCCATCCAGGATTTGCATCACTTGAGTCTACTCTTTTTTTGCTTGATTAATTCTTCATAAAGTGGGTGTTGATGGTCTGACTTCACTTTGAGGAAAGCAACAGCCCTGGACAGCTTGATTCTGTTTCCCATTGTGGGGAAATCCAAGAGGTATCGCATGGATTTACAGGTGTCTCTAGTGCATCCAAGAATAATGCGCATTGCTTCGTTTTCAATTTTGTCCAGTCTGTTCATCTGTGAAGGGCTGAGTGTCATGATGGCCAAGGCATATTCAATGGTGGAGAGAACTAACACACGATACAACATTACAAGTAGCCGTTGCTCTTACTTACTTACTTAGTCGCTCCTCTTCTACCTTGGGGTGTAGAGGTTTGCCAGAGAGATCGCCAGACGTCTCTATCAGCAGTTTTCTTTCTGTTTGTTCTCAGTCCTCTGTCAGTCAGGGACTGTCGGATGTTGTCTTCCCAGCGCACCCTGGGTAGGTCTGGTTCCCTGGTTCTTATGCTTGCCAATACTGCACACATGTCCAAACCATCGTAACTGTGACTGATCCACTCGGGTTAGTAAGGGCTGGGTATCAATCTTGACGTATTGTCTGATTGCGGACTTTGTCCCTTCTTGTCACTTGGACCACCTTTCTCAGGTATCTCATTTCCGAGGCCTGCAGCTGGCTTCTGTGAGCTGTTGTCATTGCCCATGACTCACACCCATAGTAGCCGTTGCTCAAAGTATATAAAATATAGGAATAGCCCTATATGCCCAATACGCCTAAAGGTGTGCAAAATAGTTCTTAACATTTTACTTTTATACAAAACATAGTTTTAAAAAAAACTCTATGAATAAGGAACATGCAATTTACCATAGTTTGCTTAACAAGAATATAAAATGACAACAGACAGAAAACAACTGCAGAGAAACAATGTGTCCACAACTAGACATCTAAATCTTTTAAAAAAGAAAAAAAAATTCGCCAATATTTTTGCTCACCCACCAGCACCAAGAAGGGTTAAAACTGTAATTATATTTGAAAGCTAATAATGAAATGATTCAGGAAAGTAGCAAATACCTCGATGGCTAAATAGTTATTTTGATTTATAGATTTTAATGTATTTAATGCTAAAATTAAACTACTGTTTACTGATGGCTGTTCCAAGCCAAATGCAGAATATTCGGCAGCAGACCAATTTGTATTGCCTTTGATTATGGTAAAAGCATAATATCATACAGAAAGCAATGAAAAAGACATACAACATTTAACTAATTGACCACTTAATAGCATTTAGCCATAATATTAATGTGTTCAGCAGATAAACACAGCTCCATATCTTATAAATTATTCTTTACATTCTGTGTTGTTCAATGCATTCCCCACACTGCTGTACCACCACAACATAATTACAGAAACTGCTAATGTCTAGTAACACTCCTATTCCCAACAGTGACAGTGTTGTACCGCCAGTTTAATCACATTATATCACAAAATTGTGCTGACCAGCCTTTTCACTGCTAGTGGAAAAGTGGGCTTTATGAGTACAAAGAAGGTAGACAAGACCAATCTTGGAATGAATATGTTCCTGGCCAGTCTGAGCAGGGAATCTGGGCTGCATCAGTTGGGGGGATTTTCCGGTTCCCTATTTTGTTTTTTTATTGACTTTGTTGAATTACTACTGCTATTCTGACTGCCTCACATGTCACTAAGAGAGGAGAACCAGGATGAACAATCGTGTTCAGCAGCTTTCAAGGTATAAGGATCAATGCCAAATGCCTTTTTATGGGACTTTGAGATCCCATAAATTTTTTAATATGCTACAGAAGTGTTGTCTTTTCTTTAATTTTGTTATATAGCCTGCTGTAGAATATTATTTCAGGCAGTCAGTGATATGTCATGCCGGGACTACATGAACTTCTTAGTCTGAAAGAACTTGCACCATGAATTGGACTTGAGTGAGGAGGAGTTGCACAGTTCAACTTCACATTCTCACCTGAACCCAAGTTTAGTGCCAAGACAGTCAAAAGTGCTGAGATAAGTAATCACATCATATGTTAAATCTAGTAACACACTTTATCTCCAACAATAAAAGGTAACTGTAAAGTCGGGAGATGTGAACCAGCATCACTGCACACGGATATAAACCGTAAGTGCTCTGCCACCAGTACTTACAGCTGATAAGAAACTGTCCGCCTGAGTCGCCGTCCGCACGTAACTCCGTAGCTACAGCGAGGTTCCTCCATTCACCCCAGAGTGTCAACTCTCGTACTCATTTCATAGAGGCTGGGTGAACCCCGGGAACCGCCCAGTTTTGAACACAGACCGTGGTCACAGCTGAATTTGAAAGTGAGCCTCCTATCAACTACACTAACACGGCTCTCCACAATGACAGGTCTGATGCTCATCATGTATAAGTAAAATCTTCATATTTACAATATAAAGTTTGTTAAAAGAAATAAAAAGTAAAATACAGATCTAATACAAGCAAAATATACAAGGCATTAGATGCTTTTAAAATATAAAGTGTGGAAACAGAGAACAGGCAGGCAGTTTTTAAGCTACAAAGGTTACAGTCCAGACATATCTGCCTTATTCTGGCCACTTAATGAAGGATATCCTCTGCTGTTGTTCCAAATCTAGGCCTAATTCTTCTTCAGAATCCTGATGTTTCTGTTTTCAAGTTCAATAGGTCAAAACAAAGGTATGTGTGTATCATGTAAATATATTGTCAATGACAAATTGGAAGTTGCCATTTTTAACAACAGTTACAGTGAGACAGTTTTATAGATGATTTAACTGTATGGATTTGAGAAAAAAAAAATATATATATATATATATTCTTTATTATTATCAGATCTGTATCATATGTTTACACATCATAATTTCCTTATTCTTCACTCTATCACATGTCTTAAAAGCACTAAAGAGGCAGCAGAATAGATTAATGCAGTCAATAACTCATCATGTGATTGTTTACATCATGATTGTTTGAAGATTCAATCAATAATAAAGAAATGAGAAGTGGTCCAGGAAACCGGCTGCCTCATTGCAGTCTGGTTGAAAGAGTAGAGGTTAAAAAAGGAATGTTAACTCTATTCCAGAAAGAAAGTCATGCTAAAGTTGACAGCATTTGTTAAAGTAATATCACAGCTTAAATGTATGTGAGATATAATTCAACGCGTCCACAATAAATAAATATGATAAATGCCTTGATCAACCTACTTCCACAAGTACAGATCTCTGACTGACACTATATTTTTAATTTGCCTGAAGCATTTATTTACCACTGTGCCTATCCACTGGAAAGATTGAGGAAGCTGCAGTATCTGATCTCCATTTGTCCTAGTCAGATGTACACTGTGTGCACTCAGAACTATTATTTTACATTTTTTTTTTTTTAATATTTGCATCAATATGAAACACTATGAGGCTTTCTCTGGAAAATGATTTTTCACTTAATAGACTGCATACCCTGGGAGTATCAATTGAAGCTGCAAAACAGGAAAACCATTCGTGAGACAGGAAAACCTTGCGGGAGCCACCCGTCATTACAACAACCAGAACAGAATGGGAGTCGTTAGCCTAAAAAAGGAGACATACTCAGGAGATCAAAGCGCCTACGGTCATGTCCCATGTGGGGGGGGGGGGGGGGGGGGGGGGTGTCCCTATTCTTTTCTTCTTCCCCAAAACCCACAAGGAAAGCTCTGCTATCAACATCACAGATATGTCTCCTAAATTCTCAACCACACGTTTTATTTCCTTAAATACATGCCATTTTGATGTCTCACATTCTGATTAATCCATCTGCTCTCTATAGCTCTTAATCACTTATATTCACTGAATAACCTACACAGAAATAAAACAACAGCATTAAATTCAACTTGCATACAAAACTTATCCAATAAAACCAATATCTTCATGCAGCTGGTGAAGGATATTGCAGCACTGCTTCTATTTACAGTAGAGCTGTGATACCTTTGTATCGTTCATTTGAAAATGTCAATTTCTAAACATCTGTTGTCCTGACTTCCAGGGTAGCATCGTAACCAGTGACAACATTTATTTTAGATACAATTATTTGTACCGATCATAAATGTTCCGTGTTACCTTTCTAGTTCCTTTCAGACAAGACATGAAGGATCATTCAAAACTGAAGGAGAAGCAGGGTGCATAGACGGGCACTGCCTGCCATCCAAAAAGGCTACCATTAATCAGAGCTGACATACAACATTCAGAACATTCAGAACAACAAAAATGATAAACCCAGTAACAACACACAAAATCACCCACACATCTGCCAAATCTACAACTATGATAAGCACAACAGATAGATGACATATATTATTTATCAAAATTAGAAATCCTACCTTTGTTCTAGCTCTAGTTTCTCCATGCTGTTTAGCATTACTTACTAAATAATTAAACTGGTATTTAAAAATTTTAAGCATCACTCACTATATAATTAAACTGGATTTAAAAATGTAATGTACACATATTTTTAGCAAGCCTCAAGTCAGCTTGTACAAGATTTCATTTCAGTATGATCTCTTTAATTACAAAAATTCAGTTTTATTCTATGCTCTCTAATTCATTTTCCTTTTTTATTTCTATACAAATGATTTTAGTTTCTGGAGACTGAACAAACAGGCAATCACGTGACAAAATGCTGCACACGAAACAGCAAGCAAGTTCAGCATGAAAGTTGTTTCTGCTTCACTAAATTGCAAAGAAAAGCTGTCTTTCTACTGAAGTGACTGTCTGTGCAAACAGTGTCTTCTATAAGATCAGACATGTACATAAATAAAACAATATCAACCAGACAGCCTGATCCAGCCAACCCCTGACAACTGAAGTCTCTTCAAGTATATCCAGCTCCCATATTCCCATCCCACTCAGATCACAGTGCTCTTGTCTCATCCATCCTCTGCTCTGTTGTTAGCACGGACAGTCACTCCTTGTCGCACGAGGTTGTAGCTTCTCCTGCCGGTGCATTCTCCTCAAGGCATCACCGTACTGTATACCTGAACCCATCCTTTCTGGGTCTAGTTCACCTGGAGGACAAATAAACAATAACTCCTGTTAAAAACAAAAGGTAAGGGCAATTACACAGAAGATACTGCTATAGGTTTTCACAATATTAAATCCTGACTTAATAAGGTCAGGTGGTTAAGTACCTTCAATCCCAGAAAGTTCTGGAAAGTAGTTAGTCTGCACATTATATACAAGGCTGGTCAAACCTGGACTCTTAATAGGTCACAAATACAAATATTCTGACAGTAATGAGCATTCGCATCCTGGCTGGGTGGACAGAGGTTCAAATCACTACCAAAACCTTTTTTTTTCAAGTTACCCAGACTTTCAGGTAAACCTAGCCTCTAAAATGGGTAACATAATATGTATGGGAATTAAAGACATAATCTAGCATAATACTGACCACACTGGCCATCAAGTGCCAACTGATCTGTAAAAGTTGGTAGCTAGCACTGTATGTCCCTTAAAGTGTGGACAAGGGTCCTGTACTTAACTTACTACTGGGCACTGAACAACCAGTTCAAATTTACTAGTTTGCTCAGACTAGCACTAGGTAGAGCTGACTTGAGAACATTAAAAGTCAGCATGACCTTATATTATGCAAGCTTTTCATTCTGCACATGTTAACACAAAAAACTTAATGTTAAAACAATAGACTGTGCACTTTAATGCCTTTTACCTTGATGGAACCAAGTATATGTACAAATTATTTACACCACAGATAATAATAATCTTTATGATTTGCCTTCTCTTTATCCTCTATACCTATTTTGCCTCTCAGCATCAGATTAAGAAGAGACAGCAAGAGCTCTGGTGTGTACGTCATGGTATATATCACCCCATAGCTACAGTGCCACAGTGGCTAGGCTTTTGCCTGCCAATGATCATATGTTCAACTCTCCCTAGAGGCAGGAAATGTTTTTTTTTTTAATTGACCTCAGCTACGACGTCTATCCAGCCTTAAATGGCTACCAGGAAAGATTCTATGAAGCAAAGGTAGCCAGACTGATATTAACCACAAAGCTCACTGAGTGCCCCCCTGACCTATACAAATAAATAAACAGCACCATATAGTCTTTATACTTTAAGTACCCTTTAATTTCTTTCTGCTGAAAGGATGTGTATGAGAAGCAGCACACTAAATACAAGTGATAGCAAAAGTGCTCTTGAAATCCTATGCTATATTTGTGGAAGTTTCTTTGGTCATGTGGTGATAAAAGGAGCACTGGAAAAATATTGTAATGACTGGAAATATCACTAATAGAAGAGGCAGACCAAGAGAAATGATGACGGATAGCTTAAGATAGTGGCATGGAAGAATATTATCAGCGAAATTGATCCAAAACACCAAAGGCCAAGATCTGTAGAAATGCATGAACGCCTATGGCAGCTGGCAAGGCACTTGATCATTTTTGTGAAAAACTTTTCTTTAACCATTTGGATATTGCTAGTCACACTCAGATTCACCATGGGTTGTGAGTCCCATGCCTCCTCATAGTCCAATATAAAACTATAATCTGGAAAGATGCCAACAATAAATGTCTTTTCATTCTGAATGTGAAAGGACAAAGAGGTTTCTGTTCAAACAGATGGCGTGAGTCCTTAAGTTTCTCTAAGATTAAATCTGTGGCAGCTAATAAAAGTGGACGCCGCCATAATCTTTTATCACAGGGATTATACTGCAAAAGATTTCTCACTTAAAAGGAAAGAATATCTAATGGTAAATGACTGACAGAACAAGTGCTACATACAATCAATACTGAATCTATTCTGAAAAATGTAAGTCCATGAAACCAACAGTTAAGGATCAGATCATGGTTAGGTCCGGTGACTCAGTGTTTGGGTTCCGAGGGCCCCACTGGGAGGAGGGGGGGGGGGTCCACTGCTCCCCTAACAAACATGTTGTAAAAGTTGACTAATTAGGGGTCTGCTGAAATCAGATATGTTGCACCAAAAGGTGCAGATGTCACAGCCTAGGTGTAAACCACAATACAATGTTCTAACCACTCTTTTAAGGATGAATGCAGAGAACACAGAATGTTCTGTGACAGCAAGGGAAGCCAACAAATGCAAACAATAAAACAAGTTAACAAAAGTACCTTTTCTTTTACACCATAAGGTCTTTTGGTATATGGTACTGGTCTCATATTTTAGACCAGTCAGCACCTGGCCCTGGAAATTTCCTACAGCCCTTTAGACTGAACTGACCCGGGAGCCCAGATTCACACCACAAATGTTCCATTATGGCAAGTAAAATATAAACGGACAAAAATATGGCAGTATTTTATTAATAAGCAACCTACCAGATTCAATCTTTGTCAATATTGATCGAGCACATTTCAAAAAAGTCTCTTCGACATTCTCTCCAGTGAGGGCACTTGTTTCCAGGAACATCAGCTCTGTTGGCCACAAAATGTAGAAATGACATGTTAGCACAAATAACAATGGAAATGAAACAAGGTTACATGATTTATATTTATGATGAAAAAAATTATGGAATGGTCTACTTCTACTAAAAGTATTTGTATGGCTACAATACTGGAAACAGGTAAGTGTTATTGTGACCAAAATCAAGAAAACTGTGAGGCTAAAGAAGAAGTGATCCAGAAAGACCAGTAAGAAACATTTAATTAATCTTTACTAGTTCTATTTATCTGTTAGTTGTTTATTCATCTGCATATTCACTGTCTTGTGAACTGCCCTGAAGTTATCATAAAACACTGAGTGCTTATGGCTAGGTTAACTAGATATTTATGTGTAGTGAATGAATACAAACAAGAAGGGCCATTCAAATTCAAATTCTTTTTCGTTGACCACTTTCAGCTAGGAAAAAGAAGGGCCATGTCTGATCTTGGCTTAAGATCAAAGCTTGACATACCCCCCTCCCCCCTCCCCTCCCAACACAGCTTAAGAGCAAATGTAGACCAAAACTTATACATATTGTGATAGATAACAGAGATGACAGATATTTATGTTGTATGTGTAAGCAATGATAGATATTTACATTACATACTCTACTGTGAAAACATGTTTGGGGGTCAACACTTACCATTTTCTTGAGCAAATCTGCTAGCTTCCAGAAATGTCACCTCTCGTTCTGCCTCCAAATCCTTCTTGTTCCCCACAAGTACAATGACAATGTTTGGACTGGCTAGTGTGCGAGCATCTGTCAGCCAGTTGGTCAACGCATTGTATGTCTCACGACTCCAGAAGTAATTCAAAAGTTCAGACTACAGTGCTTATTTACAGCAATAATTTTTATTTATCAAAATATTTATAAATTGTTTAAACACTGCATTACTTCATTCAGATCAAAAATAACATGATGATGAATAAACAAAGTATTTTCATCATAGTTCTTCTTTGCGTTCACCAACTGTAAACTCTGGTCTAACATTCTAGTTGGCAGTCCACTTCTGGACTGTAGCCTTGCATCAGAACTTGAGTTTTCATGCACATTCATTTTACAGATCTGGATTACCTGTATGCAGACGGTTGGATCCTGACCTCTCAGGCAGATGCACTCTGACTCTGAAGGAAACAGCCCTAATTAGTCGACTTGTGGGACATACTTATTAGGGAGGCAGTGGATCTGTTGTTCTTCCCCCAGACTAAGGAGGGGGCAAAAAGGCTGTCAGAAAAAGACATTCATAAGGAAATGCTTCCTGTTTATGCTGACAACTGTTTATCCTGTAAACGGTTTTTTTTTTAAAAAGAATTCTCAAAGGTGCTCTAAAATTGTCTGATCTGGTCCTCCTGTTGAGATTGCAACAGTCGCATCCATGCAGCAGGTGGAGGAGATGATCAGAAGTAACAGGCAAGTAACCGATGACTTTAGCAGTCTGCAATAGGGTGTTCACATGGTTCAGCATACAACAGAATGCATGATCGATTGAAATGTTAAAAAGTGTGCTCAAGGTGGGTACCCAGGCATCCAGGCCTGCTGACTACAGGAGTACTGCTCCTTTATGAAAATGCCAGATCATATACGGCTCGGTTAACTCAGCAGAAAATAAACCATCTAGGTTGAGAACTTCTGGAACATCCACGTTACAACCCTGACTTAGCCCCTAGCGATTTCCACCCTTTTGGTCCACTGTAAACTCACCTTGGTGGGAGACATTTCGCAGCTTCAATTTAAGTAAAGATAGATATAATGAACTTGTAACTAATAATTATTATAATTTGTGATTAATGTGAAATCCATTGGCTATGGCAGTTAAAGCTGGTGGTGAACATCAAAGACTGTTTACATTTTTTTTTTTCAATGGTGACATGCTGCTGCTGCTGTTTTTTCCCAATCTTTTCTTCATTTTCTGCATTTGCACTCAACTCATTCAGTCCCAATCAACTAACCACATGTTGTTTGAGCTCTCTTATATTATATTCTATTTGTTGACTTCTGTCATGTAACCAATAATTATGTTCAATTAGTCAGCCTCAATTGCTGCCACATTTCATTCTTTCTTATGTGTTATGATTTTATCTACTTCAGAGATGATCATTACTTCTCGTCCTTTTTAGGATATAACATTTTTCATTATTTGAAGCCCTACTCTGGCTCTTACCAGGGGCCGCAATATAGCCTGGCCATAAATATGGCCTAAAGGCTGAACCCGGTTTCTGGGGCTTTTCGAAGGTATCCTCACCCACATGGTGGCACATTGTGTCATTGGGTGTTTATCGCTTGTGTAATGTCCTGGTTGGTTAGAAAGTCAGTCAGTCAGTCATCTACTTCAGGCTCAAACATTTATCAGTTCCCATGCTAAATTCCAAGTATATGATTAAGAAGCACTCAATCTGGGATGCAAAAAAATTAAAAGAGTGGTTGGTACACAGTGTTGTAGTTTACTGCTAACATGCAATATCTGTGCCTTTTGGCCTAACACATCCAGCTTCTGAAAATTATTTAGTTCTCTTTTACAACAGGTCACCCATTTCTTCCAAATTTTGTTTTGGGAGTAGGTCACTTTTCCTGAAGGTTACAGGTGTGTCCCCTCTGTTGTTTGCTTTCTGTGATGTCTTGCATTTATGTTTTCATTCACAGAAAGAGAATGCATGTGACATAGGTTGCATGACTCTCTTGGGGGATTTTGTTAGGACCAGTTTTTCCAAGCTTTTAGAGTGTTAAAAGCACTGGCATGCTGAAATATATAACACGCAATATCAATGGCATTGCGGAACACCCCCCGTAACCTTGTGCCAAGGTGACAGGTTCAGGAACTACCAATCAGAAGTGAACTAGTGTGTTTATGGACAGGGCGTGGAAAGACCAACTTTACTTTTACCAAGAAGTCTATATCTGCACATATCACAACTACTTACCTGGTAATATCATAGACCAGCAATGCTCCTGCTGCACCTCTGTAATAGCTTCTGGTGACTGATCTAAAATTCAGACCATGTAACACAGTCGATGATATAAATCCATGAATGGTTTAGAGCATTTTCATTTTGAGAAAAATATTTATACATAGAGATAAACACAGAAAAATGAGAAATTTCATATATATTTATACATATACTCAACCAAACTACATGGACAATGACAAGTAATTAGAAACTAAATCAAAGCCCAGAGATGTGAGCATATAGAAGAATCTTTGTATTTTATGACAAAAAAATAATTAAATACAGAGGATTCATGACAGAGACCGTCAGCCATACTGCCCAACATTTCCATGCCTGGCACTTTCTTCATCTGTATGAGCAAATCTTCGGGGAGCATACATCTTCCCTGCACAAGGGGGAAGCCACCAAACACAATGGGTAAGTTAACCACTAGCCTCAAATAGGTAAACCACTTGACAATGAATAAGCCACCAAACAACTGGTAAGCTCCTACAAACAGAAAACAGTTTGTTAAATCAATATATTCAAAAGGTAAGCCACCAACCACAAAGGGTTACACTAACAAATGCAATCAGTAAACCACCCAAAACAATAGGCAGGCAAGCAACAAATGGGTTAATCACCAAATAGTATGGGTAAACCATCAGTCACAAGATATAAGTAATCAGACACAATGGGTAAATTACCAAACATATTAGGTTAGCTATCCAGTCACAACTGGTAAGCTATCAAACAAAATGTGTGAGCCACCAAATACAATGAGCAAGCAGTCAACATAATAGGTAAGCAACCAGCCATAAATGGTGAGCCACCATCATAACTTCAAGTTGGGCAAAAGAAAGAACCAAATTATTATGCTGATTTATACACTGGTAAGATGCAGTCTGTTCAACTGCCTTGTGAGTGTGTTCACACAATAAAAATAAAAAATCAACACAACTATATAACAGAATCCCTAATGTGGGGATTTGGGAGAGAAGTGAAAAAAAAAACAAGTGAATCCAGAGGCAAGCACAAGTTGCCAGTGAATCCATTGACGAGCTAAAGTTGCCAGTGAATCTAGAGGCAAGCAAAAGTTGCCAGTGAATCCAGAGGCAAGCTAAAGTTGCCAGTGAATCTAGAGGCAAGCAAAAGCTGCCAGTGAATCCAGAGGCAAGCAAAAGATGCCAGTGAATCCAGAGGCAAGCAAAAGCTGCCAGTGAATCCAGAGGCAAGCTAAAGATGCCAGTGAATCTAGAGGCAAGCTAAAATTGCCAGTGAATCTAGAGGCAAGCAAAAGCTGCCAATGAATCCAGAAGCAAGCAAAAGTTGCCAGTGAATCAAGAGGCTAGCTAAAGTTGCCAGTGAATCTAGAGGCAAGCTAAAGTTGCCAGTGAATCTAGAGGCAAGCTAAAGTTGCCAGTGAATCCAGAGGCAAAGAAAAGTTGCCAGTGAATCCAGAGGCAAAGAAAAGTTGCCAGTGAATCCAGAGACAAGGAAAAGATATCACTGTTGGAAATGACACAAACTGAGACAACTGATAATAACATAACCAGAATATTATTACACTGTAATTATATGACCAAGGGAATAAAGGCAGTCTTAAAAAACATGTGTAGAAGAGAATTAGAGAATGAGACAATTGGGACATGCTGAATATGGAGTGAGCTGCAATGCAAAAACATAGGATATGGTGCGTCTGCTTGAATTGACTAAGGGCCTATTCTCCTTGGGGAATAAGGAGCAATAACAAAGAAGAACAAAATTATACACAAGAATACACCAACCTGAACCTCTCCTGCCCAGCTGTGTCCCAGATTTGTAGTTTGACTGCTTTTCCTCCAACATTGACCACTTTGCTTCCAAACTCCACACCTATAGTGTGGTTTGAGTCTTGCTTAACTGTAGATTAATTATAATACAACAAAGGTTTTAGTCATGCTTAACTGTAGATTAATTTTAATACAACAAAAGTTTGAGTCTTGCTTAACTGTAGAATAATTACATTACAACAAAGTTTTGAGTCTTGCTTAACTGTAGATTAATTATAATACAACAAAGTTTTGAGTCTTGTTTAATTGTAGATTAATTATAATACAATGAAGGTTTGAGTCTTGCTTAACTGTAGATTAATTATAATACAAGACAGTTTTGAGTCTTCTTTAACTGTAGATTAATTATAATACAAGACAGTTTTGAGTCTTCTTTAACTGTAGATTAATTAAAATACAACGAAGGTTTGAGTCTTGCTTAACTCCAGATGAAATTAACATAATAAAGATTTTAGTCTTGATTAGCTGTAGATGCAATTTCCACAATAATGTTTCAGTCTTGCTTAGGTGTAGATGGAATTGTCACAATCAAGGTTTAAGTCATGCTTAGCTGTAGATGTTACTATCAAAATCAATGTTTGAGTCATGCTTAACTGTAAATGTAATCACCACAATCAAGGTCCGAGTCATGAGAAAAAAGACAAGAGACTCAGGCAGGCAGGCAGGCAGACAAACAGAAATGGAGAGACAGAGAGAGAAATGGGGGGAGAGAGGAGAGGGAGACATACAGAGAGAGACAGCCAGTTAGGATCATTTCATTACATCAAGAAAGGTGTCTGGCAAGAATTTCTACTGTCCCTACATTTACTTATATTTATTCAGTACTAGCTGTACCCGGCCACACGTAGCTGTGGCATAGTTTGGCTAAATGGAAAAGAAAATAGAAATCGCATGTGTCTAATACGGTTAATGTCGCAATCCTTTTCTGCATAGATATAGAGATAGTCTGGCTTGCCGACGACTTTAGAACATGTAACATATAATTGTCTCTTTATTTTAGTGGTCGTTTAAATGGTATTATTAGGACTTTAAAGAAAATGGTTATTTTGTTTTCCCATGCTAAAGCTGTTTGTATTTTTTTTTAAGAGACGGAGGTAAAGCTTACTATTGTATTTGTAAATAACTAAGTGAGTCGTTAAAAAAAAATGAGAACAGGGGAGGTAGCGTTAGTAAAATATAAAAAAATTAGGAAATGAAAACTTTAAAATCATGCGTTAAGCTCTAAGTTAACAATTTCTGTCATCCCCCTTCCCCTCCCCTCTTCCATCCACCGATTACTGCTCTCTCCCTCTCCAAAGGATTTGAAAGTTATCACCTGACGATATTTTTTTTAACTGACCTTGACATCCCTGTCCATCCAGACTAAAATGGGGATCAGGAATTGTTATGAGTAGTAAAAGTAGCCAGTGTAATATTTAACACATCATCCTTCAAGTACCAGTTCAACTACTACCACCACCACCATCTGTTCTACCATCGGAGTAGACAGGGGGGGTCGTGAGCCGAAGAGCTAGTGCTGTCGCCATGGACTGGTCAGGTTAGGATGTGTAATTTCGCTCCCCGATAGAGAAAGGCCATTACCTTACCGGCGGTCAAACCCAGGTTTTCAGCATGACAGCCCTATGGTGTAACCACCCAACCACAACTGCTACTACTACTACTGCTGCTACTTTAAAGCTCTCTCAGTTAACAGTTTATGTTCCCCCCCCCCCCAAACCCCAATTCACCGACTATTCTTTCCCTCATCGAAGTAGTTGGGAGGAAAAAAGACAAGTGAAAAGCAACGAAAACAGAAAAAATACACCATAATTATGAAATGAACACTATGGTAAACAACACAGCTTAATTCCAATGCAATGTCAGACAAAATATTTAAAACAAAATGAAAATAAATGGAAATCTATGAAAATTCCACGTAACCAATTGGAAACATTTAAATAAGGGCTGTACCGAATAGTGATTTTCACTATTCGGCCGAATACGAATAGTGGGACCAACTATTCGGCCAAATACAAATACGAACACGAATAGTGTATCATCCTCATCAGGTGCCATGCCGACTGGCGTGGGCCATCATGCCTCCTTACAATCTGCGATCTCCTGCAGCATGTATAAGTTCGTGTGCTGACACACCTCCATGCCATGCAACAAGACTGTCAAGAATCTTCTATCGTTGTCTTCCTCTATCCCTCCTTCCACAGATCTTTTCCAGTGGTCACTAAATGTTCAATTTTCCCTTTCTCATAACATGGCTGAAAAATGACGACTATCTCCTTCTGATGTCTGTGATGAGTTGCCTTCGGGCTCCTGCCTCTTTCAAAACCATCGTTCGCTCGACCATTCGTTCGATGTAATTTAAACGCACATTCATATTCTCGTTAGCAATATCTTCAAATTTGATTTGGGCGAAGACACCATGAAAGAACGAAAAATGCATGATCTCTCGCGCTCTCTCTCTCTCTCTCACACACACAAACACACACACTCTCTCTCTCTCTCACACACACACGCAAACACACACACTGCGGTTGGCATTTTATGCAGTTTGTAACACACAAGCGGGTCGCAGTTTCCCCCACTCGACAGACTTTGGCAACTTTTGTGTTGATGAGAGAGTTATTTCAGTCCATCACAGTGTATGCAGAAACAGGAGTAAGGTAACCACTATTCGTATCCGGCCCGACCGCAACTATTGGGCCGAATACCGAATAGTTATTAGGTCCACTATTCAGCCCCGAAGCGAATACGAAGCGAATATTCGGTACAGCCCTAATTGAAATG